GGCAGCATGTTTTAAGACGTAATCTTGAATTTTTAGGTATTCTGGGACTTTTTATTTTTTTGGATTTTTTCACGATGGTAAGGCTATAGTCTTGCTTGTTTTAGTGTTATTTTCAGAAAAAGTCATAAAAAATAAAGGTTTCTAAAACACAAATAGAAATACACTCTGTTGGGTGCACTCTGTTAGAGCCCTTGTTTTACTTTTTTGCTACGCCAACGTTTGATCACAGTAAAATACTATACCAATAAGTTCCTGAACAAATCTCCAAAAATAAAAGTTTCTCAAATATGATTAAAAATACACTCATTTGGCTTAAAATACTTAGCTAAGTGCATTTTTGTTGTTAAAATTCAGAGAAAATATACTTTTTTGCTAGGCCAATGTTTGATCACAGTAAAATACTATACCAATAAGTTTCTGAACAAATCTCCGAAAATAAAAGTTTCTCAAAAATTACTACAAATACACTAATTTGGCTTAAAATACTTAGCTAAGTGCATTTTTGTTGTTAAAATTCAGAGAAAATATACTTTTTTGCTAGGCCAATGTTTGATCACAGTAAAATACTATACCAATAAGTTCCTGAACAAATCTCCAAAAATAAAAGTTTCTTTACACATAACTCAAGCTTAGCCCCTATTTTTACTCTTTTTACTTAAACTTGCAGAGCCTGGACGGGCGCCCACTAGGGTACGTCTCAAGAGCCTCTCTGCCTCTGAGATTGAAGTGTCGTGGAAAGCTCTGCCCTGGAATGCCAGCAAGAAAAGAGTGTTGGGCTACGAGGTGAGTTAAGACTAAACTGTTTGTTTGTTGCTTTAATCCACTGCATGCAAATCTGTTGATGGGTGTATAAGACCTGAGCGTAAAGTACCCTACAAAACTATTGCTGCTGATCGCTGTTACATTTAATTATTGATCATTTTAGTCAGACAGTTGCACCTTGGGCACAGGACATAATAGCTCACTGCTTGCATAATGGTCCAAGTAATCCTGGGTCTGTGGGTTTTTTTATTTTTCCTGTTGCTCACCTAAGTACTGTAACCACCATGATTACTGATGCAATCCTCAGAGGGAGAGAGCATTTAGCTTCCAGTCCGCACAGGAACGCACTTGGAAACAGCGGCTTTGCCCACTTTTATTCATTGTCATTTTAATTCTGCTTATTATTGAAATGTTTTTATTGTTGGAATTATAAATAGTTGACCGCTAAAAATCAACAAAGAAGCAGCCGCCAGAGCAAACCCGTTCCTGTGAGGAAGGACAAATTATATTTGTGCTGTCAAGCGTGCTAGCTATTTCAGCACCGACAAGCAGGGTAACAAAGGAAATCTGTTATCGGTGAAAGTTGATGGCTTGGGTTTTTGAATGATTTTTTTCTGAAGGCCCTACTTTTTACTATAGTACCCTGAAGCGTGACACATTTCTGAAAGGCTGACACTTGTTCTGGAGCTCTTAGAGGGAATGGGGGCGGGGGGGGGGTGTCATGCTGCTGGAGTTTTGTTTTCATACCAGTTAACTTCTTCTACCCAGTTGAGTTCACATCTCTCCGTTTCCAGTTTGCACTTTGCCGAGTGGTGTAAGAAAGCTTTTAAGATGTCTGTCATGTTGACCGACTCCTTGGTTCCACGTCTGTGGTTTCTGCGTCCTGTTTTCCAGCTGAGGTACTGGAGTAGAGATGAAAGAGAAGACATGGCCAGCGTGCTCAGAACAGTCGGGAACCAGACGTCCACCATTATCCAAGGAGTGAAGGGCAGCACCACGTACTTCATCTCAGTGAGGGCGTACAACACGGCTGGAGCTGGGCCTCCCAGTGCAACTGTCAACATCACAACAAAAAAACCACGTCAGTATCACATTTACTTCTTAGCAGCTGTCACTGCCCACTAGTGTCCAGCCGCTGTTTGAGTGGAATAATTTCATTTTTCCTCCCCAGCGCCGAGTCAGCCCCCGGGTAAAGTGATGTGGAACACCTCAAACTCCAAGATTATATTGAACTGGGAGCAGGTCAAAGCTCTGGAGAACGAGTCAGAGGTCACCGGCTACAAAGTAAGCACTAGTCGCTGAGGTCTATCAAAAAAAACTGTGTTTGTGTTTCCCGCCTGTGTCTGACTCTCAACTGTTTGCTCTAAGGTGCTGTACAAGAAGAACCGGCAGAGTCGGCCGGATGTGATGGAAACCAACACCACGTCGGTGGAGCTGGCCCTGCCCACTGATGAGGACTACATCATCCAGATAAAGCCCTTTGGTGAAGGAGGAGAAGGCAGCAGTAGCAGGCAGATCACTATCCCTAGGATACCAGGTCAGTGTCTGAGTCTGGTTTTAGGTTCTCCACTAGGATTGTTTTTTGTTGTTTTTTTTAAGAAAATGTAAAATATTTGGAAAACTTTTTTTGCATTAAAGTATCCTGCCATTTTAAAATGGCAGTGTAGGATGGTATGATATTATATTTGTATATTTGTTGTTTGAAATACTAGCATTTAGTAAAACCTCAGACTTAGGTGGATATTTTGTTTTGATAGATACATTAAAAATTTAAACTCAGCGTTTACTCAAGTAATGCAGCTTTTGTTGTGGTTCACCAAAGTCTCCAAGGTTTTAATTATTTAGTTTTTTGTTTGGTTGTTTGTTTCTGGGTAGACAGAGACTGAACCATAGATTAAAAGAAATCATGGGGCTCATGTGGATATTTGGAGGTGAAACAAGATATAAACATATCCTCTCCATAGATTCAAATGCTTCAAAACTTTTTTTTTTCCTTTTTTATGTCACTATCAAATATTTTACTGAAAATGTCGATAAGGGAATAAATGCTGTCCGTCTGAATCAGCCTAACTGCCTCGTTCTTTTCCTACACGTCCTCAGGTCCCAACGCAGTCGGCTCAGCGTCCAAGGTCTCTACTCTGTCGGCGCTCAGCACAATAGCTCTGTCTTTCACGGCGAGAACATCTTTATGACTAACAGCTCTGAGCAGACACTGCTTCTAATGTGGAGACAGAACCTCCACCATGGAGCCCACACTACATGGGCCACTCTGGTGTACCTGGATCCATTTATATTAGACTTTAGAGGCAAAAGGAAGATGTTGATATATATATACATGGATGAGATATATGAGGTATACATATATATGTATATACATATATATATGTATATATATGTATACGTATATATGTATATATATATATAAATATATGTGTGTGTGTGTGTGTGTGTGTGTTTGTGTGTGTATATATATGTATATATACGTATATACATATACACATATCTCATCCATGTATACACACATCAATCATCCGGGCTGCGATAAAGAAGGTTGAGGGATGTTGTGACCATGTTGTTACCAAAGCAGCTTTTATAAGAAAAAAAAAGAGGAAAACAGTTGAGTGATAAAAAGTCTTATATGCATCCTTTTGTATTCCATGTTGAGCTTTTTTATAGATTTTGTTTTCCTATAAAATGTACTGTCAGTCTGGACCTGTTGACACGGCAACAGGAAGATCAAGGCAAACAAAGCAGCTGACCCTGGAGCTGAACCGTTTTATTTGACTCAAGAATGTTTGTCTTCTGTAAAGAAGAAAAGTAATAATGAAGTTGGGAAAAAAATATACATCTAAGCTGTTTTATTTCTATATTTTTTATGATATATTTCAAGAATATGTTGCCCATTGGTAATTTGTCATCACATATCACAATATAGGACTATTAAAAAAAAAGTTACAAACGAGTGTGTAGCTGGGCAAATTTAGACACTGGGTAAAAGAACTCATGTTCAGAGTTAATAAATAACATGAAGCTGTAAAACCAGGTTCATGACTTTTTCTGGTCGCTTGATTTTTGTCTTTCACAAAATTATAGTTAAAGTACAGTACCGTTCTTCGAAAGAATATGTGAAAAAAATTTAAATATTTTGTTTTTATTTACATGAAGGAGATAAACAAATTTCATTAATTGTATGAGCACTTTTACTTTTATTGTACTTTTGTTGTACTGTAGACTATGAAGTACTTTTTCTCAGCACTTTTGGAAGAATTCGTGATTGACATTTCCTCCAGTGAATCATATTCACTCTCTTAATTTGAAGTGGGATTTCAATTATTTCTCATATCACTCTTGTAGGATCATTATTTCATACATATATGCTACTTGTGTACCCACACTAGAAGTACTGCTGTAAAAGTCCGATCAAATAGGAGTTAGAAAAATAATTAAATTGGTTAAATTTTGTCAGCCAGTTTGAGCGGTGGGTGAAGTAGTTGGGTTCAATGTTCAATGTAGCGCTTTGTCTATTACTTGTACTTCAACTTTGGAGTGCTTGTACTTTCTATCATTTCCTTAAAATTAAATTATATTTAAATGTATGCACTTTTGTTTTTGAAACAAAGCAAAAATCTGAAGTACATTTTCTACACAGAACTGCGTATGTCTGTAGCAGAGAGTTTTCAATGATACTCACATGTGGACCTAAGGTTCAGTCTGAAGGGTTGGGTCCAACATCCAAGCATGAGGGAGAACCTGTCGTCACTGTTCAAACGGAAGAGTCGGTAGCTCATCTACAACGGGTAGAAATCACATGAAAATCAATTAGTGACGTAGATAAAATCAAATGAAAAAAGGGCTCAGTGTAGAGAACTAAAAACAAACTTTTAGCATCATTAGAAATAGAATCTTGGACAGCATACCTGACATAGAGCTGGAGAACCTTGAGGTCCTTCTGGGCGGAGCCTCTGACACCACACCAGTGGCCAGGCCTCGTGCTCCTCCGTCTTTTCTGTTTGCCCTGTGTCCAGAGCTTTCATTTGCCTTCAGTGTGCCTCATCATACGTTCAGAAATCCTCAGGTCTTTCAAGAGCCTTAACTTATTATATGTACATATGATTAAAAAAAATTTGAGCATAGGATCACACAGCAGTTACGGTGATGTTTACATGCTGCTGTGTTGATAAAAACTGACGGGATTGGACGAGGCAGAGAACGAGCGTCCTTGTCTGAGGATTCGTTTAAAGGTGGCATTCTGGTGTTAAGCATGGGATACCGGCAATATAAGAAGCCTGACACTGTTTCAGGCGTGGGTTCCAAATTAAAAAAAAAAAAAAGAAAAGGCTGCTGATTTTTTTTTCTTGATTGTGCCCTGACGCCACGTGGGACTGCTGTAGTAGTTTGTAGTACTTTGAAGAAGAGGAGAATAGTAAGTTTGCTCAGAAACACGCATCAAGAAAGAAACGTGTAATATACTGTTTTCTACACTTTCAATCATTTATATAAGGGAGCCTTTCTAAAGAGACGAATCAATTGTTTTTTATGTAACGGAATCACTTTCATACAGTAGCTGTAACTGTTGCTCAGCATGACTGTACTGTGTCCTCTCTCTCTCTCTCTCTCTCGCCTCTGTCCAGCTGCAAACGTGACCGAATGGCTTAAAGAACATTCATCCGTCCAATAGGTCTGTGTAACGCGTGTGTGTATCATAAAAAACTGGACCCTGATCAGCCTCACGTCTATATGCTTCTATCCCAGTCAGACTGTCTCAGATGCACTGTAGGCCTACTGTACGTATCTGCTCTAAGGAAGGGTTTCCTCTGTTGCTGTTTGTTGTTTATACTGTGTTAATAAAGAATATTGATTTATACAACACCAAGCCTGAGTCCTCTTTTCCAAATACACAGTGAAAACATAATTTGACCAACATCCAAAACCACTGGCTCCAGCTCTCTGGGTCACCTTGAACGGGATTAAATAGTAGAAGGTGAAGATTTGAATATTTTGCCCTTTTAACCCAGACAGATTAAGACAGATGGCTGCACACTTTGAATCTGCATTTGAGAGGATTATATTTTTTCTATTATTTTTTGGGTCTATCATTTAACTTTTAGTTTATATTTCATCAGCTTTTCACCTTTTTAACTGTTATTTTATATTAAGTAAATACAAAAAGAAAAGATTGCCATATGTACAGTAGCAGCTGGAGTGGCACTTTGAGTGGTGGGGACGGGGTTTTAGGAGGATTCCAAGGGACTCTGACTGATAGGGGCCCAAAAACTTTTAAATCAACATATAATGTTCAATGATTATTAATTCTGATGACAACAACAACATCAATAATAACAGTGAATTGTGTCAGGTGTGTTACATTGTCTCTCCTTTCACACAGATTACTACATTTTACCACCAGATGGCAACATAAGCCAAGGTGGTTGATGTCCTTTAAAGTCTACTAAGTAATTTAAAAAGAAAATCCCGGTCTACATTGACAGGCTTAAATCGTTTGCTATCTTGTACAAACAAAAACTTGAATTTTTTTTAAAATGACTCCCAATATTCCCTAATACTTCATTAATACACAAACATCCAAATCTTTTCTAACAGAGTTCTAATAGTGTATTGTACTGTGGTACCGTTCTGTTATAAACACGTCTGTTATTATGCAGTCCTGGATAATTAGAATAATTTCACTACACTTGTTCAGACTCAGAGACATTGTGCACTTAAATAATACATTGACATTTATTTATGCATGTATGTTTCCCATTTAGGTTGAATGCAAATACAGTAAATACACACCATTGAGCACTAGAGGGAGATGTAGAGCAAAAGGTCGTGGATAATTGAAGGTAGAGGTGAAATTGTAGTGCACACAATGCGCAAGAAGGAAAAAATCTAAACAACAGAAAACATGGAGTGAATTTATACCTGGCGCTGTGTGAGACCTTTACGGTCTTTGTCCAGGAAATGATTTTTATAAAAACTTCACTGTGGATCAACTAATGTAAATTTCGACACTGCTCAATTCCACGTTTCCTTTACAGGAAGAGTCATTTCGCCATCTACTGGTGATGAATTGCACTTTCAGCTGACCCCTTGTAACTGACGACTCACAGCCGTGATTCCAAACATAAGGCACCCACATGCACGACACTTCTATTGCTCAATTGTCCATAACCTTCTACCCTTGAACTTACGATTGCTTTTCTGCTGCTGTCAGTTTTTTTTACATAGCTTACACACAAGTATGGGTGGTTTTATACTTATAAATATATATTTATATACTGTATGTAAAATACAGGCCCCTACCATCCTTCAACTCGCCAACTCACTTTTAGTAATGTCCAATACTAGAGGTAATAAAAGAGGTCAGTTTCATTTTCAACATTTTCTCAAAGTAAATCTAAACAGTTCAGTGTCAAATGACCATGTTGACTCAAGGGACCAAAAACAACAGGGGAACACCAGTGTAGATATCACATTTCCATTGACACATTTACAGCAGGTCGACACTTTTTCAAGTCAAGAGAAGGAGTTAGACTGTAAAAAGTCCAAGTCGTGGCAAATGTGGAAAATCTATCGTCTTTACCAGTGACTCTGTGTCCTTCTGGTGATGTGAATCATTTAGAGTATTCTACAGGCTGCTGACTATATATCGATTCCGTGGTATCGATATACCAATACTCACACGAGTATCAATTGAGTATCAATTACTCTCATAAAGAATCGATACTAATTCATAAATGAAAAAAGGGGCATGACTCTCTTCCACATATATTAGGGTAACTTACTACATACAGGCTTTTGTGCTGCATCCCCCCCGCCACAGTAACATCAAATTGAAATTCTTGTCACATGACCACTGACCAGAAGACAGTAGTGGCTTCATGAGATCAAGTCGACTAGACATCTGTGTCTCTTAATTGTAGCATTCAAACTATTTAGGTTATGTTGTATAAAAATAATGTAATTTGTTAATAATAATAATGTTGTGAAAAAAACATGTATGAAAAATACATATTCAATTTGTCAAAAATTTAAATAGTCAGAATTTGTGAAATTTTGCAGCAGATGGTGCATAAGTAAATATTGCACTGTCCAGCAGGGGTCAGGCTCTTTGTCTATTTTGTGATAGTCATTTACACAGAAAATGTAAAATAAAGGCATTAAGTTCCCGAAGACTTCTGTAAAATGTGAACTGATTTGAAAAATCAAATTAGCGAGACTCTAGTTTGTGTACTCTGAGGGAGTAAAAAACTATCCCCACTTTAGCACTTTAATAAATTCATTTAAGTATAATTTAACAAGTCACTCTGACAAAAAATAAATTATGTTCATCCAGTGTTTTTGATTCAGAAATACCTTTTCAGATTAATCCAGATAAGAATTAAAGCATGTGTGGGTCATCTGTAATTGAAATTACAGTAGGGCATCATTTTCAAAACTTTTCTGTACACACCTTACTGCTTCCCAAAGATGTGCTCTGCATTTAAGTATCAGCTAGACAATTCTGATGAAATACTGTCTACGTTTTGGGGGGGAATTTATCGACCTCAACCCTGAAGGGGTTGAAGCCAGATGTTGAAAACCACAAATCCGTATGAGTTTTTTCAGGTCAGATTTGAGTTTTTGCGCAGTTAGAGAATAATATGTCAACGCTGTGATTGAATGAGACTTAGTGATGACAGCAGGTCAATACGTAAAGACTAAAATGTCAGAAAGACAAATACAACAAAAGGTAAAATTTTCCAAACTCATCATAAAAAAGCATAATCAAACTTCTCTACAAATCTTAGTATGTGTCATCAGTTTAGTCTAAACAAAATCTGTGACGTGTGTGTGTGTGTGTGTGTGTGTGTGTGTGTGTGTGTGTGTACTGCTTAGATTCCACTGTGGAGACTCTTAACATTAGTTAACTCTTATTCTTTAGCTTTTTCCACCAGTTATTTTCATCCATCCCTTCTCATCAGACCTTTACACGGACTTTTCACCAATTCCATCATCTATTTTGTAATTTAACCATGCAGATTATAATCATCTGATATTGTACATATTTCATAAACAAGCAAACACCAACATAAATTAGGTTTTCTATAAGATAAAAAATGTAAAAAGCTAATACAACAGCTGTTGATATACATTTGAAGGTGTTGCAGCCAAGAGGTGGCGCTGAGGAGCAAAAAGGCTGATCTCTCTCTCACTGTTCTCCGTTCTTATATACATTACATATTTGACAGTATCATGGAGAAGATGCAGTATTTGACAACAACATGGAACGAACTCTGAACTTAAATGAAAACACGAGGTTCACTGGACGTAAAAGCAACCTGAGGGTTCAGAAATGTCTCGATTAAATTAAAAGAAAAACTATGTCAGTAAGGTTAGGGTTGAAAACAAGGGGGAGAGGCAGAGTTGAGCATCCAATAGGAGGAGGAGGAGATGGAGGGCTAAAGCAGGGGTTGGGGGGTCAGTACGACTCACAGTTGAATTGTCTAAAGGGACAAAAGTGAAAATCAGCTCACTACTTCACGGAGCCCAGTCTGTTCTTGTGTCAGTGTGTCCACAGTAGGGAAGACCGTCATCCAGGTGCTGTACTAGAGGGTGGGGCAGCAGACATGCACAGCAGTGGGCATGCCTTCCTCTGTTAATGCTCCTCTCCCAATCAGGTGCCACCATGACCAATCAGGACTGCAACGAAACAACATTCAAGATCTGAACGTTATAGAGGTCGAGGAAAACAGTAGTACACACAAAAAACTTCCACTTCCACTTCCATAGTCTACACTGGCAGCACTACTGCAGTACCACAGACATGTGTTGCTTCTGTGTACAATGCATTTACCAATCAAGTGTGAGCCTTTGTTTTTATTGGATAAGAATTGGTGCGTCTTTATAGCTGTAAAAAAACAACATGGTCTGTGTCCATATCAATAAACCAAATTAGTTAGTTTTAATGTTTTATTTTGTGTGAAATCAGATATTTTATCAGTGATATTAAGCTTCAGTGGAAGTATTTAAATGCAAGAGAAATGGCATAAATTTAACACCATTACCAAAATAGATGACATTTTACTAGGTGGAATGTGATCCAAATAAACACTGATTAATTCATATGTATGATTAATGTCTAATGTTTTAAAGATTTTAGATAGAACGCTTAACAGTTATTCCAGAATCACACCAATACGGTCTCTTTTAGAAGCCATTTTGTGAATTAGATTAAATTAGATTAGATTAAAATGTATTGATCCCACACCGGGGAAATCAACAGAGAATTATTGGCTGTTAAGCTCTTTTGCATGTTGAGCGATTGCTCCACATTTACTCATGGATTAATTCATCAGTTCAGTGGTAACGTCAACAGTAATCCTGTAGATGTCAGTGTAAACCCATGAGCGGAGCCTCAGCTCTCCTACAGTACCTCCGCCCTCTGCAGCACGTCCTCAGTGGGAGACTCCGTTTCCCTGATCACCACTGCCTTTGTCACCAACATGTCAGGATGCTGCTGCTTGGCTTCCTGGATGGCCATGGCCAGAGCCTGAGGAGGAGTCAAGGCAATGCTCATCAACATGAAACAGCCTGTGTGTGAGATGAGTTTATGAAGCATCTGACGACTGGACCTCTCACCTGATGTTGGTCCACATCATCATCTCCTGTAATAATAATCCTCTTCTCGATTCTGGTCTCAGAGTAACCGCCTTTTACTGTCTGCAGAACATAAACAAATGTTATCACCTGAACAAACAGTAAATTATGTAAAATATATAGATACAATATTTTTTGTAATTAAACTTTTGAACATTAATATTTACTTTTGTTAATTAAAAATGGCATAGATATCTACCCCTTCCTGGACTAAGGAAGGTTCAATGTACCGAGGATTTTACTCAAAATCCTGTGTCAGAACCAATACCCAGGATGTAACATCAAAGATTCAGGGTAACATTGGAAAAAATGGCTTCATATAATTATTTGACACCAACAAAAGTTTGAGAAGTTGAAGAAGACTGGGACTCAACACAGCACAGAATCAGTCATTAGTGCTGCACTCTGAGTTCTGGACAGGCTGTGGTGGAATCACAGTGATTCCAAACCACAGTGCAGCAGCACAGCAGAGTGCCGTGAGAGATCATCAGGTGAACTGTGAAACCCCCCCGTTCCTGCCATTCCACAGGTAAAGTGTTACCTTGGTCACTTGAGTGGTAGTTGCTGAGGTGACACTATCAGCAGTGATGGGCAGCGGAGAGTCCACAGTCTCCCTAACCTGGCTGCTCTGAGTGATGGCTTTTACCTGCAATCCAAAAAGGAGAGGACACAAGTCACAAACACATATTTTGTCAAAACTCTCTATTTAACAGACATGCACTTTAAAATGTGTGCTTTTTTGTAAAAAAATAAAAGTAAGACTGTTCTTACTAAAATCCCCCAGAATTATTTCTTTAATGACAGTACAGGGGATCCACGACACACTGTCTATAAGTACCTATGTCACTCACCTACTCTTACCACAGTGGTGACATCATGGCTTTGGAGCCATAACGCAAGGCCGAAAGCGAATGTAGCACAATTCAATGCACAACTGGTGAATGTAAACAAAGCCGTCTTGTGCATATAACAACGGGTAACTATACATGCCTCCGCTATACTCTCCAACTACTTCCCGTGCAAAACTTGTGCTAACACCATACATCAGAATGAAGTAGAAGACCTGCTTAATAAATGTATGAGAGATGGCGATATGGCTATGAAACACTGCAGGTCAAGGAAGTCATAAACCAAGGAGCTGCTCTATTATGAGATGACATTACATGCAGTATGGCTATTGTACTAAAACAAACGTCACATGGATCAGACCTCACACTCATTTTTCTTCCACTGCCACATTACTTATTCCAAAGTGACAACTAAAGGTCAGGACAGAACAGACATAAAGGGACAACAGAGGTTGGAGGTTCTGATCCAGCCGACACCCACACTCACGGTCACTCTGATTTGTTCCAGGTGTCGAGAAACTTACAGGGGAGCCATTTTCTTTCACGGCAGCAGGAGCCTCTGGTGGGCTGTTCACTCTATAGCTCTGAAGCAGAGACAGAGAGAACGAGAGAAAATTCATCACAGGGATTAGTTACAGTGCAGGAAGAGTGACTAATACAACTGTAGGTTCTTAATTTGACAGACGTGTGAAAATATGCATCCACCAACAGCTTTGCTAACTGGCTCACCACTTTGCTTCTCAGTGTAAAGAAAGCTAAGAATTTTAAACTCTTAAATTAAAGCAGCGTGTGTTTGTCTGGTCTAGACCCCTCACTGGTATTGTATTAGGAAGATCGATCGGGCTGAGAACTTCAAGAAATTGTCACAAAACCAGACTGTTGGAGAATCAAAAATGCTCCCAGAGGCTCTATCAAAATGAAGGATTTGATTCACGTTTGTGTGTATATGTGAAAGGACCTTAATATTGATTTTGAAAAAGACACTGCTGTTAAAACAACAACTTTTTCACAGGAGTTTAACGCAGACAACGGCAAACTTCGTAAAAGACAAACGTGTATAATATCTTAACACTATTGCACTTGAAATAAAGGGAGTCGAGAAAAGAACATTTAAACAACACATCATCAGTGATTCACTGATATCCATGCTCCTTGGGCACCTCCTGGAGTGGATCAATGCTCTCCTGAAATGTGTTGGACAAAGTTGGTTGTACATGTGTCTGTATATGTACAATGACAATGAATGTGATTCTACATCTTCTCCTAAATATATATACAAAATAAATAAATAAATAAAATTGAATGATCGAGTTTGTCCCAGGTTAACTGAAAGACAATGGGAAACCAGTGATAATCACGCTCTAATGAGGCACCTGAGGGAGGATCAGGTGGCAATCAATGTTTCTCCTTCAAAGATGAATAGGAGTCACTTCTGCTGTCATCTTCCTCATTAATACACATTCGCTACTTCAGGGAATATAGAAATTGTGTCA